AGCAATATTCCAGCCTAGATAGAACAAGTGACCTGAAGAGTGTGATCATGGTGATCACTTCCTAATAAAACTGCCTGCTACTGCTTTCAAGAAAAAGGCTCAAATACAAAAAAAATGCCCACTCATTTTATGTGTGAGGAGTGTAAAACACCACTGTGCATGACACCATGTTTCAAAGACTTCCACAGGCTGCAGAACTTCTAAAAACATGTCCTGTGACTGTTTTTTTTTTTTTCAACAAGTTGGTCGTCTCCCACCGAGGCAGGGTGACCCAAAAAAGAAAGAAAATCCCCAAAAAGAAAATACTTTCATCATTCAACACTTTCACCACACTCACACATTATCACTGCTTTTGCAGAGGTGCTCAGAATACAACAGTTTAGAAGCATATACGTATAAAGATACACAACATATCCCTCCAAACTGCCAATATCCCAAACCCCTCCTTTAAAGTGCAGGCATTGTACTTCCCATTTCCAGGACAAGTCCGACTGTATATGCATATATAAAATATAGAAAAATAGTAATAAACAACATTTTATATTGTTCATTTGTGTAAACAAGTTTTGTAAACAATATAGTGACAACTGTGGTTGTGCAGTTAGTGTGTAGTATAGAAAAAGTAAAAACTTACAAGATAGTGCTCATATTGGTCTCACAGGCTATAAAAGTTACTTAAAAAATATAAAAATTTTTGGAAAAAGTTGGCGATGTTGCCGTATGCGGTTCACTTTGTCAACTTCATGCCTCCATATATGTTGGTAAGTATTGATGGCAAAAAAAAAAAAAAAAAAAAAAAAAAAAAAAAAAAAAAAAAAAAAAAAAAAAAAAAAAAAAAAACCTATAAAGTTTAGAGAGAGAAAAAAAAACTTTTTATAAGAAAAAATAATTTTTTTCAAATATTTCTCGACCCTGAGAACAAGTCTGGGAGAGGGCGTGTCGACCCTGAAAGGGTTAAACAAACTGGCCATATCCCACCGAAGCAGGGTGGCCCCCTCCCCCCCCAAAAAAAAAAAAAAAAACAATGAAAGTTTAAAGCCAGCAACATACAACAAAATACCTTTCATCCGTGGACTGCTTGCAGAGGCAAAGGCAATGTTCGCGGCTTTCACTGAGACCCACATAAAGGATCACTTGGACAACGAAATATGGATCCCAGGTTACAACCTATACAGATGTGACAGAGTGAACAGGCAAAAGAAGGGGGTTGGCCTGTACATTGCAGAGTCACTTGTTTGCACAGAACTGCTTGATGCCTCAAATGATGTAGTGGAAGTTTTAGCAGTAAAGATCGAGAACCAAAACCTACTCATTGTGGTAGTCTACAAGCCTCCGGATGCAACATCCCAGCAATTCCAGGAACAGCTGTTAAAAATTGACCACTGTCTGGAAAATCTTCCAGCTCCTGCACCCAACATCTTGCTCCTGGGGGATTTCAACTTAAGGCACCTAAAATGGAGGAATATAGCAAATAATATCGTTGCAGTAATAACACCAGGAGGCAGCGCTGATGAAAACTCACACTCACATGAGCTTTTAAATCTCTGCACAAAATTCAATTTAAACCAGCAAATAATAAAGCCTACTAGACTGGAGAATACACTAGACCTCATCTTCACTAACAATGATGATCTGATAAGAAATGTCACCATATCAAAAACAATATACTCAGATCACAACATAATTGAGGTTCAGACATGTATGCGCGGAGCCCCAGACTGACATAATGAGATTAGTAACGAGGGAGCATTCACCAAATTCAACTTCAATAACAAAAACAAAGTGGGACCAAGTAAACCAAGTCCTAACCGATATAAGCTGGGAAGATATACTAAGCAACACAGACCCCAACTTATGCCTAGAACAGATTAATTTGGTGGCACTCGATGTATGCACAAGGCTTATTCCTCTAAGAAAAAGGAGGAGTAGATGTAAAATAGCAAGAGACAGGCGCTCCCTTTACAGGTGACGGAAAAGAATAACAGAGCGGCTAAAAGAGGTCAGTCTATCTGAAATGCGTAGGGAGACACTGGTCAGAGAAATAGCAAGCATCGAACTTAAGCTAAAGGAATCTTATAGGAGTCAGGAATCGCGGGAAGAACTAAAAGCCATAAATGAAATTGAAAGAAACCCAAAGTATTTCTTCTCCTATGCCAAATCAAAGTCAAGAACAACGTCCAGTATTGGGCCCCTACTTAAACAAGATGGGTCCTACACAGATGACAGCAAGGAAATGAGTGAGCTACTCAAGTCCCAATATGACTCAGTTTTTAGCAAGCCGCTAACCAGACAGAGCCGAATATCAAAATGAATTTTTTATGGGAGAGCCACAGAATTTGGTTAACACAAGCCTATCCAATGTTATCCTGACGCCAAATGACTTCGAACAGGCGATAAATGACATGCCCATGCACTCTGCCCCAGGGCCAGACTCATGGAACTCCGTGTTCATCAAGAACTGCAAGAAGCCCCTATCACGAGCCTTTACCATCCTATGGAGAGGGAGCATGGACATGGGGGTCGTCCCACAGTTACTAAAAACAACAGACATAGCCTCACTCCACAAAGGGGGCAGTAAAGCAACAGCAAAGAACTACAGATCGATAGCACTAAGATCCCATATCATAAAAATCTTTGAAAGGGTCCTAAGAGGCAAGATCACCACCCATCTAGAAACCCATCAGTTACACAACCCAGGGCAACATGGGTTTAGAACAGGTCGCTCCTGTCTGTCTCAACTATTGGATCACTACGACAAGGTCCTAGATGCACTAGAAGACAAAAAGAATGCAGATGTAATATATACAGACTTTGCAAAAGCCTTCGACAAGTGTGACCATGGCGTAATAGCGCACAAAATGCGTGCTAAAGGAATAACAGGAAAAGTCGGTCGATGGATCTATAATTTTCCAGAGTAGTAGTAGTCAACAGAGTAAAGTCCGAGGCAGCTACGGTGAAAAGCTCTGTTCCACAAGGCACAGTACTTGCTCCCATCTTGTTCCTCATCCTCATATCTGACATAGACAAGGATGTCAGCCACAGCACCGTGTCTTCCTTTGCAGATGACACCCGAATCTGCATGACTGTCTTCCATTGCAGACACTACAAGGCTCCAGGTGGACATCAACCAAATCTTTCAGTGGGCTGCAGAAAACAATATGAAGTTAAACGATGAGAAATTTCAATTACTCAGATATGGTAAACACGAGAAAATTAAATCTTCATCAGAGTACAAAACAAATTCTGGCCACAAAATAGAGCGAAACACCAACGTCAAAGACCTGGGAGTGATCATGTCGGAGGATCTCACCTTCAAGGACCATAACATTATATCAATTGCATCTGCTAGAAAAATGACAGGATGGATAATGAGAACCTTCAAAACTAGGGAGGCCAAGCCCATGATGACACTCTTCAGGTCACTTGTTCTATCTAGGCTGGAATATTGCTGCACACTAACAACACCTTTCAAGGCAGGTGAAATTGCTGACCTAGAAAATGTACAGAGAACCTTCACGGCGCGCATAACGGAGATAAAACACCTAAATTACTGGGAGCGCTTGAGGTTCCTGAACCTGTATTCCCTGGAACGCAGGCGGGAGAGATACATGATTATATACACCTGGAAAATCCTAGAGGGACTAGTACCGAACTTGCACATGAAAATCACTCACAACGAAAGCAAAAGACTTGGCAGACGATGCAACATCCCCCCAATGAAAAGCAGGGGTGTCACTAGCACGTTAAGAGACCATACAATAAGTGTCAGGGGCTCAAGACTGTTCAACTGCCTCCCAGCATACATAAGGGGGATTACCAACAGACCCCTGGCAGTCTTCAAGCTGGCACTGGACAAACACCTAAAGTCGGTTCCTGACCAGCTGGGCTGTGGCTCGTACGTTGGTTTGTGTGCAGCCAGCAGTAACAGCCTGGTTGATCAGGCTCTGATCCACCAGGAGGCCTGGTCACAGACCAGGCGGCGGGGGCGTTGACCCCCGGAACTCTCTCCAGGTAAACTCCAGTACACTATATACAGGAGAAGGCATTATCAGTACAATTATCAGGGTATATATAAAATATGCACCAACTTTAAAACACTTGAAATTTCAGAAAGTTTCCTGACATAATCAAGAGAAACAGAGCTCACAGAGAATGTAAACAAATCACGAGCCATACAAACATTTTTTGGTACACTCTGAAATGTCCGCATTAGCAAAGTGCCACAAAGTGGTGCCCTCCTATACAATAATAAATTAGGCGGATAAATTTGCAAGTATACAATGAGAATAAAAAGGTATTTTAAAAATAAAAGCAGATTACTGTATTATCTTATTTCAATCATTTTTCTAGCATAGCTGATACAGAACTCATCCTTTTACAAATAATACTAGCTTATTGATGATGAAAGATATGATCATCCTGAATTATCCTAGGAAAAGTAGAGAAACTGGGGTATGAAACTAAAAATTTTTTTTGATAATAAAATAAAGTCCATTCAATTATATGAAAGTAATGAATACATTCACTGTTAGAAAAACAATTTAGATTTACAGTAACGTAGTTTAAAAAAAAAAAAAAAAAAAAAAAAAAAAAAAAAAAAAAAAAAAAAAAAAAAAAAAAAAAAAAAAAAAAAAACACATTCACAATTCTGAGTTTGCCAAGTTGGCAAACTAGGCAGTTTACAGTTGCATACACAAATTACCATGTGTTTTAAACTACACAAGACATTAACTATAAAACTACATTATTGCTTTATGTAAAGATACATTTTGCCTTTAACCATGTTTTGATTCTAACATAGCTAATACAAAACTCATCCTTTTACAAATAATATTAGCTCATTTGTGATGATACACACTGATCCTGAATTATCCTATGAAAAGTAAAGAGAAACTAGGTTATGAAACTGAAATTTTTTTAACAATCAAGTCCATTCAATTATATGCAAGAAATGAATACAGTGACTGTTAGATAAACAATTTAGATTGACAATAATGTAGTTTAAAAAAAAAAAAAAAAAAAAAAAAATTACAATTCTGAGTAATATATGACTAGTACTTAGTTGCCAGCTTGGCAAACCAGGTAGTTCACAGTTGCAGACGCAACTTACCGCATGTCTTAAACTAGACAAGACCAACTATAAAACTACATTACTGCTTTATGGAAAGATACATTTTGCCTTTAACCATCTGTTTTGTCAGGCTGATTCGCTTCAGGATCTGAGCAATAGCATGCACTAGTTGATCTGAGCTGAGGCCAGTTTTCTTGCACTTAAACTTTTGCAGAAGTTCTGTAGTGGTCATGGGCTTGCGCATCAGGTATCTTCTTATAGCTTCCTCTGTCACACCACTGTCACTGTAATGTATAATAAAATGTAATGAATTACAACCACCCTAATAAATTACAGAATGTAAAAATAAGATTTTACATCAAGATATCTATTTGTATTTTCCAAACAATACCGCATTGTAGTTTTTCTACAATAATAGTCTGTAAGCTTCTGATTTTTAGCATAAGGATAAAATAGTTATTAATGAATTATCTTCTATGATCTCTGATAACTGATGTGTTGAAAAATGTATGAGTGAGGTGAAAGTGTTGATTGATGATGAAAGTACAGTGGACCCCCGCTTAACGATCACCTCCAAATGCGACCAATTATGTAAGTGTATTTATGTAAGTGCGTTTGTACGTGTATGTTTGGGGGTCTGAAATGGACTAATCTACTTCACAATATTCCTTATGGGAAAAAATTCAGTCAGTACTGGCACCTGAACATACTACTGGAATGAAAAAAGTTCGTTAACCGGGGGTCCACTGTATTCTCTTTTTGGGTCACCCTGCCTCAGTGAGAGACAGCTGACTTGTTGAGAAAAAAAATAAATTACTTTCTTGCCACAGGAATGTGTGTAAAGAATTTACTCTAGTTAGCATTATCAAGTACATAGTTACGTGTACAGCATTATTACTAACCAGATTTTTTCTTTTTTTAACACATTGGCCATTTCCCACCTAAGCAGGGAGACCCCCCCCCCAAAAAAAAAAAAAAAAAAAAAAATTTGTCTCCATTCACTCCTGTCTAACACACACACACATGCTTACTGGAAGTCCAAGGCCCCCTTGCCCACACAACCTCCTTTACCCCCTCCCTCCAACCTTTTTGGGGATGACCCCTATCCCACCTTCCTTTCCCTACAGATTTATACACTCTCCAAGTCATTCTACATAGTTTCATTCTCTCTAAATGACCAAACCACCTGACCATATATTAAAAACACAAAACCAGATGGATCATATAGTGCAATGAGTAACAAGAAATGGACAATTATTCGTAAATAATAGTAAGTTTTAGACTCAAGTTCCCACAGTTCTAGCCAATCATTGAAGGGTTCTTTCGTTAACTATCCAATCAACATCTCTTGCTGACGAGATGGGATGTTTGGATATTTTATTGCATGGAGATAACAGAAACCTCTAGCAAGACAGTGACGAAGTGAATGATGACGAAAGAGTTTTTTCATTTTTGGGTCACCCTGCCTCAATGGGAAAAAAAATTATCTACCACTGAATTTTGTCTAAATGCAACTGTCTGTGGATTTTGTCAGTGTGAAGAAGGATCTGGTAAGATGAATGAAGACCAAACAAGAATGGTGCTACCATCACCTCTACTCAGCTAGCTCATCTTATGCTATGGTTACCATGTCTTCTATTTTTCATAAAAGATCATTTTAAGTTGGACAGTGTAGTGCAAGTTACTCTCACGATTTAATTCATATTAATTTCTGGTGTCATTGATGACTTTCAGGTCCCTTTCCCGTTATCTGATGCTTTTAATGTTTTATTAAATGATGTACTGTATATTAGATGGGCCTGTTTTTACCCTGCAATTGAATATTTAAAAGGAAAGAGTGAGCCTTCTCATATTTACTAGAATATGCTGAAAGGCAAATTCTAGTAAATATGAGAAGGCTGAATCATCACTTCACCGACTGCAACATTTTCTCTACTTCAAAATTTTAAATTCAGTCATAAGTTTTCCTAACCTTTAGCCGTAGAGTATTTTTACACCTTACCTGTGTTTGTCTGTCTTGTATAAGTTTGCAAGACAATCTTCAGTCATGTAATTCTTCTGTGTTCTCCAGGCAGAAGCCCTTCCATGAAAGTGTTAATATGTAATGATAATGATGAATGGTACCATTAAGACTAAAAGAAAAATTATATTACACACACCTTCCTGGGGAAACGACAAGTGATGAGGCTCCTGCTGCACCCAACAGTGAAAGCTTTTTGGGCAAAACTCTAGATGGTTTGGCCTTTAATTTGCGTTTACTACTCCTCCATCTTAGTTTTTCCTTTTTTTTTTCCTGAAAATTTGAATTAGCCCTTAACCGTGAGCTTAGGGGTCACTTCTTCCAATTGTGAAGTTCTCAAAATACCCTAAACCCATGAAAACCTTTATATCAAATAAAAGATAAAAATATTTGAAATGGCAAAAAATTTTGAAATTTAAATTTTGGTGTCAATGGGGGGGTTTAAAACCCCCCGGGAAAGTAGCCCAAAAAATGCAGGTTACTGCACTGCCCCAGGGCACATTGAAATTTCATGAATCGATGTAAAAAGGGACTGTTTTCACAGCAAAAAAGTGAATGCTGGCAGTACAGTGCAAACTTTATGCACTTTGGGATAATGAAATCTTTTTATGAACAAGTTTTATATTCCCCATCACATGAACTGCATACTTCCTTTTGGGGGAAAAAAGAGAAAGGAGAGGGGAGAGAGAAAAGAGAGGGAAAAAGAAAAGAAGGGAAAAAAGAGAGAAGAAAAGGGGGGGGGGGAGAAAGAGGGGAGAGAAAAAGAAAGAGAAAGAAAGAAGAGGGAAAAGAGAGAGAAAGGAAAGAGAAAGAGAGAGAGAAAAAGAGAGAGGAAAAAGAGAGAGAAAAAGAGAGAGAAAGAGGGGGAAGAAAGAGAAAGAGAAAGAAGGAGGGGAAAGGAGGGAAAGAGGAAAGAAAGAGAAGAGAAAAAGGAGGAAAGAAAAGAGAGGTAAAAAGAAAAAGGGGGGGAAGGAGAAAAAAAGAAAAAAGGGAAAATGAGGAAGGGAAAAAGAAGAAAGAGAAAAAAAGAAGAGAAAAAAAAGGGGAAGGGAAAATTTTAAAGGAAAAAAGGGAAAAAGGTGGAAAAAAAAAAGAAAGAAAAGGAAAAGAAAAAAGGGAAAAGAAAGAAAAAAAAATTTTTTGGTTTGAAAAGGGGGAAAAAAGGGGAAAAAAAGAAAAAAGAGGGGGAAAAAAGGGGAAAGGGAAAAAAAAAAAAAAAAAAAAAAAAAAAAAAAAAGGGGAGGGGGGAGAAAGAAAGAAAGAAAAAAGAGAGGAAGGGAAAAAGGAAAAGGGGGAAAAGGGGAAAGGGAAGAAAAAGAGAAAAAAAAGAGGAAAAAAAGGGAAAAAAGGAAAGAAGGAGAAAGATAAGGAGAGAAAAGAAAAAGGAAGATGGAAGGGAAAAGAGAAAAAAAAAAGAAAGGGGAAAAGGGGGGAAGAGGAAAAAGGGGAAAAAGGGGAAAGAAAAAAAAAAGTAACGGAAAAAAAAAAAAAAAAAAAAAAAAAAGAGGGAGAAGGAAAAGAGGGGTTGAAAAAAAAGGGAAAGAAAGAGAAGGGGAGAGGGGAAAAGGGAGGAAAGAGAGAAAGAGAAAAAAAAGGGGAAGGGGAGATGAAGAAGAAAAGGAGGGAGGGGGGGAAAAAAGAGGAAAAAAGGAAAGAAAAGAAAGAAAAGGGGAAAAAGGGAAAAAAGAGAAAAAAAGGGAAAAAAGAAAGGGAAAAGGAAAGAAAAAAAAAGGAGAAACTAAAAGAAAAAAAAGGAAAAGAAGAAAAAAGAAAAGGAGAAAGAGGAAAAAAGAAAAAGGGAAAGAAAAGAGAAAAAAAAAAGAAAAAAGAGGGAAAAAAGGAAAAAAGAGAAAAGGGAAAGAAAAAGGAAAAGAGGGGAAAGAAAAGGGGAAAAAAAAAAAAAAAAAAAAAAAAAAAAAGAGAGAGAGAGAGAGAGAGAAGAGAGAAAAAAGGAAAAAGAGAGAAAGAGAGAGGAGAGAGAGAGAGGAAAAGAGGAGAAAAAAAGAAAGAAAGAGAGGGGAGAGAAAGAGAGAGAAAGAAAGAGGGGAAAAAAAAAAAGAGAGAGAAAGAAAGAAAAAGGGAAAGAAAGGGGAAAAAAGGAAAGAAAAAAAAAAAAAAGAAAGAGAGAGAAAGAAAAAAGAAAAAAAGAAAAAAAAAAGAGAGAGAAAAAAGAGAGGGGAAAAAAAGGGAAAAAGAAAGAAAAGAGAAAAAGAGGAGAAAAAAAGGAGAAAAAAAGGGGGGAAAGAAGAGAAAGAAAAAAGAGAGAAAGAGAGAGAAAAAGAAAGAGGGGGAAAAGGAAAAAGAAAGAGAGGAGAAAAAAGGAGAAAAGAGAAAAAGAAAAGGGGAAAGGAGAGAAAAGAAAAAAAAGAAAGAGAAAGAAAGAGAGAGAAAGAAAAGAAAGAAAGAGAAAAAGAAAAAAAAGAGGAGAGAAAAAAAAAAGAGAGGAGAAGAGAGAGAAGAGAGAGAAAAAGAGGGGGAGAAAGAAGAGAAAAAAAGAAAGAAAAAAGAAAAAAGAAAGAAAAAAGAGAAAGAAAGAGAGGAAAAGAGAAGGAAAGGAAAGAGGGTGGAGGAGGAAAAAGAGAGAAAGAAGAGAGAGAGAAAGAAAAGAGGAGGAAAGAAAAAGGAGAGGAAAAAAGAAAAGGAGAGAAAAAAGAGAGAGAAAGAAAGAGAGGGGAAAAGAAAGAGAAAGAAAGAAAAAAAGAGAATGAAAGAGAAAAGAAAGAGAGAAAAAAAAAGAAAAAAAGGGGAAAGAAAAAGAGAAGAGAGGAAAGAAAGAGAAAAAGGGGAAAAAAAAGAGGGAAAAAAAAAGAAAGAAAAGAAAGAAAAGAGAGAAAGAAAAGAGAAAAAGAAAGAAAGAAAGAAAAAAAGAGAGAAAGAAAGAGAAGAAAAAAGGAGAGAAAGAGAGGAGAGAGAAAGAAAAAAAAGGAAAAGAAAGAAAAAGAGAGAGAAAAAAAGGGAGAAAAAAAGGGGAAAGAAAAGAAAAAAAGAGAGAGAAGAAAGAAGAGAAAGAAAGGGGGGAGAAAAAAAAAGAGAAAAAGAAAGAAAGAGAGAAAAAAAGAAAGAGGAGTGGAGAAAAAAAGGGGAGAAAGAAAGAGGAGAAAGAGGAAGAAAGGGAAAGAGTAAAAGAAAAAAAGGGAAAAGAAAGAGAGAAAAAAAGAAGAAAGAAGGAGAGAGAGAAAAAGAGAGAGGGGAAAAAGAGATAAATTGTAAAAGAAGAATGATAGTCTGCAAGAGGAAACTAGACCACTACCTGCTTCAAGTGCTTGATTATCCAGGTTATCATAGCTTGTGAGGCCTGTGAGCTGTCAGAAAGTTTTTGCATTATTAACACACACAAGTTTTGGGCCCAAACCCCCAATTTTATTTATTATTATAAAAAAAAAAAGCACTAAACCACAAGGGCTTACGCACTGCAGGGCAGGAAGGAAGCAAGGGTATCAGGTGGCAAAAGGGAGATGGACGAGTAATGGGTTACGGAGAACAGCGGGCAGTGGATGGTGAAAGGGTAGAGGGCAACTAGAGATTGAGGTAGAAAGGGCTGAGGGGAGTGTGAAAGGTATCAGAGTTTGTGGGAAAATCAGTCTTTTAAAGAAGTCAATGAGAGGGGTCGGGATTAAAGGGGGGCCCATCAGCAAGAAGGGAAGGTAAGAAAGAGTAGTAGAGAGGGAGACGACGGAGGAAAAATTCCCCCTGCTCTTGAAGAAGGACAGTCCACGAATTGGTAAGATATGGAACTTGACATGTTCACAGGAGGAAAAAGATGCCTTCCACGAGATACCCATGAGAAAGACGAGTGGGGCCAAGGAAGGCGGGGGAGGTTTCTCCCAACCCCGACCTGAGGGCAAGAAAACGGGCCAGTAAACCCCATGCTCGGGTTTTAATAGAATGAAGTTTTTTACCAAAACGGGTTTACCAACGTTGTTGCCCAACGGGTGTTTAAGGTGGGGGAGTATTAAGCTTAACCCAAGCTTTATTGATCCCTATTAAAACAATGAGATACTAGGCTACAAAGATTTAAAAATTTTTGGGTCCCCATATCCCTGGGGGAAAACATTCCCAATACCCCCACAGATACCGAAACAACGGGTAGTAGTGATTAAATTTTATTAATATTATATATATTATATATATAATATATATATATTTTATAAATTTTAATAATATTTTTATATAATATATATATATATATTAAAAATATATATATATTTATTTTTTATATATTATATTATTATAAATTAAAATTTTATATATATATATAATATAAATTATATTATATATTAATATATAATATATATAATATATTTTTTTTTTTTTTTTTTTTTTTTCACCGGGCCCTTCCCCCAAGAGGGTGGCCCAAAAAGAAAAACTTTCACCACATTCACTCCATCACTGTTTTGCCCGAAGGGGGCTTCACTAAGTTTTTTAAACTTGCAACCCAAAACCCTCCTTAAGTGCAGGCCCTGTACTTCCCATTTCCCGGACTCAAGCCGGCCCTGCCCGGGTTTCCCTGAATCCCTTTATAAAAATTTTCTTTTCTCACACTCCAAAAGCCGCAAGTTTAAAAAAATTTGTCTCATTCACTCCTTTTTCAAACAGCTCACGCAGCCGCTGGGGGTCCCGCCCCTCCCACAAACCCCCTTTACCCCTCCCCCAACCCTTTTTAGGCCCACCCCCACCCCGCCTTCCCTTTCCCTAAGATATAACCCCTTTGAAGTCTTCCTGTTTTTCCCCTTTCTCTAATGCCAAAAAAAAAAAAAAAAAAACCCCCTCAAAAACCCTTTTTCGCCCTTGACAACTTTTTTTAATCCCCACTCCCCCTAATTCCAACCCGAATTTTGCATTATATTTAAACCACACATTGCCCCTAGACAGACACTCCCTGCTCCACCTTCTCCTGTCCATTACACCCAGCTTCACACCCTATAAAAGGTTTGGGAAAACATACTTCATACATTCCCCCCCTTTGCCCCCAAGGGAAAAAAATTTTTTTTCTCCACAATCCTAAGGGCCCCTCACCCCTTTTTTCCCCCATCAAATTTTATGATTTTTCCCTCTTTTATAAAACCCTCCCCGACAGCACTCCCAAATTCTGAAACTTCACCTCCTCCATACTCCTCCCCCCAATTTAAAATTCCAATTTTTCTACCCAAAACCTTTTTTTAACCTCATACCCTTTTCTTTTTATTCACCCTTTAATTTCCCCTTTCACACCCTCCAAAAACATCACCAACTTGCAAAATTTTTCTTAGAATCTCCCCAAAGACGTTCATGCAAAAAAACTGTGCAATCCCATTTGGTTTGATTCATTTTTTAACCCACCCTTTCCCAAAACCCTGCATTTACTTCTTTACAACCCCTTTTTAAATATATTAAAAAACCCAGGGTGAATACACCCTTGTCTAAGGCCCAAATTTTACGGGGAAAAATTTTCCCCCTTTCCTACAACCTAACTGAGGCCCCTCCTATCCTCTAAAAACTCTTACGCTTTTAACCTCCCCCCAAACCCTTTAAAATTGCAACATCTGCCCCCATTGCCCCCCCATCCACCCTTTATAGCCTTTTAAATCCCTAAATGCCAAAAAAACCCCCTTTTCCTTATCAAATACTGTTCACTTATATGTTCATGAAACACCTGGTCCACACACCCCCACTCTAAAACCTCCTGTTTATCGCTTCCTTTCTCCGTCTTACTCTTAATTCTTTCAATTATAACCTCCTACACTTTTTCCGGTAACCAAAGTTATCCCCTTAATTTTTTCATTCTTTTTCCCCCCTTTCCTTTATAAAAGGGGCATCATCCTCTCCAATCCCTAGGTACCTTCCCCTTCCTACATTTTAAAAAAGGACCAACCACTCCAAACTATATCCCCCCCCCTTTTAACATTTCTTTCTTTTTTCCCTCAATTCCGCGCCTTACCCCCCTTTTTTTTTCTATGCCTCACGAAATTCCCCCCCACTACAACTGCTCTTCTCACTCCTAAAAAATGTTTTTCCTCCTTGCCCTTCAAAATACGCTTTTTCTTCCTAACATTTAAAAATTCCCAAATATTCCCCATCTTCCATACCTCAACTCCCATTAATAAATTCCCCCCCTTTTTTAATGACAAATCCATTTTCCTAGGCTTTCTTAACTTTTAACTCCCCAAAATTTTTCTTATTTCAAAAAATTTTTTGAACTCTCCCCAAATCCTTTATTTTGCTCTCTTTTTCATTCTTTACCACTTCTTTTTTCCCCTTTTTCTCCATAACTTTCCCTCTTATTCACTTCTCTTTGTAAAAACTTTTCATAGCTAACTTTTTTCCCTTTTTCACCTTTTACTCATCATTCCCCCAATCCTCCCCTTTTTTTCCCCCTTGGCCCCCCCCTTAAACCAAACTTCTGCACATCTAAACTCATTTTAAAAATACCCCCAAACCCCTTCACCCCATTCCATCTTTCTTTGCCCACTTTCCCCAATAGTGTTTTTATTTACCCTAAACCCTCCTCTTTTTGTTTTAAACCCTTACCTCCTCTTCCCCCTGTTCCCCTTTCCCTTTTACCATCTACCTTTTTCTTATGTAGCTACAAATAAAAATGATCGAAAATCTTGGCCCCTCTATAAACATGTACACTGAAACTACCACACTTTTTTTACCAATAATAATAAAAACTACTTTATTTTGCCCCACTCATACTTTTTTATTTTTTTTTTCCTTTTTCTTCAAAAAATTTGTTTACATTACCAAATTTCTTTCACAATAGCCTTTTAAAGGGCTCCCCTTTTAATTTACCCGGGCCCCCCAAAATTTCCTACTCACCCTCCATAACATTTTTACCCACTTAGCATTAAAATCCCAACCCCATTACTCTCACATTTGATTCAAAACTCCCCACGCTTTCACTAAACATTTCCCAAAATCTCTCTCTCTCTCTACACTTCTCTCTTCTCCAGGTGCATACACCTTATTTTAACCCCCCCTTTTTAATCCAAACTTTTTTTGCTCCCCTATCCTTGAATTAATAATTTATATCCCTCTTTTCCCGCCCTAGCTTATCCTTTAACATTATTTCTACTCCTTCTTTAGCTCTAACTTATTTGAAACCCCTGCCAATCCTTTTTTTCCCCCTCCCCTGAAACTTCCCCCCCCCCTTCAGCTTTGTTTCACTTAAAACCAGGCATCCAGCTTTTTTTTCATTTTATAACATCCCCAATCATTCTTTCTTTTCATTGCCAACATACGCCCTTCAAATTCCCCCTTTAAATTTTCTTCTTTTTTCTTTTTATAATTTTACAGGAAAAGGGGGTTTCTAGCCCATTGTTCCCGGAATTTTTTGTTGACTTTTTCAAAACGCATGGCTTACGGAGGGAAAAATTCTTATTCCACTTCCCCATGGTAAAAAGGAAAATTAATAAGACCAAGAACTATTAAGATAAAATCAAAGAAAACTCAGATGAGTGTGTATAAATAAATGTGACATGTATGTGTAGTGTGAACTAAGTGTAAGTAGAAGTAGAAAAACATGCCTGTAATCTTGCATATTTATGAGACAGACAAAAGACATCAGCAATCCTACCATCATGTAAAACAATCACAGGCTTCGTTTTACACTCACTTGGTAGGACGGTAGTACCTCCCTGGGTGGTTGCTGTCTACCAACCTACTACCTTTAATATATATATATATATATATATACCAGGAAAAGTATACGGTAGGGTTATAATTGAAAGAATTAGAGGTAAGACAGAATGTAGAATTGCGGACGAGCAAGGAGGCTTCAGAGTGGGTAGGGGATGTGTAGATCAAGTGTTTACATTGAAGCATATATGTGAACAGTATTTAGATAAAGGTAGGGAAGTTTTTATTGCATTTATGGATTTAGAAAAGGCATATGATAGAGTGGATAGAGGAGCAATGTGGCAGATGTTGCAAGTATATGGAATAGGTGGTAAGTTACTAAATGCTGTAAAGAGATTTTATGAGGATAGTGAGGCTCAGGTTAGGGTGTGTAGAAGAGAGGGAGAATACTTCCCGGTAAAAGTAGGTCTTAGACAGGGATGTGTAATGTCACCATGGTTGTTTAATATATTTATAGATGGGGTTGTAAAAGAAGTAAATGCTAGGGTGTTCGGGAGAGGGTGGGATTAAATTATGGGGAATCAAATTCAAAATGGGAATTGACACAGTTACTTTTTGCTGATGATACTGTGCTTATGGGAGATTCTAAAGAAAAATTGCAAAGGTTAGTGGATGAGTTTGAGAATGTGTGTAAAGGTAGAAAGTTGAAAGTGAACATAGAAAAGAGTAAGGTGATGAGGGTATCAAATGATTTAGATAAAGAAAAATTGGATATCAAATTGGGGAGGAGGAGTATGGAAGAAGTGAATGTTTTCAGATACTTAGGAGTTGACGTGTCGGCGGATGGATTTATGAAGGATGAGGTTAATCGTAGAATTGATGAGGGAAAAAGGTGAGTGGTGCGTTGAGGTATATGTGGAGTCAAAAAACGTTATCTATGGAGGCAAAGAAGGGAATGTATGAAAGTATAGTAGTACCAACACTCTTATATGGATGTGAAGCTTGGGTGGTAAATGCAGCAGCGAGGAGACGGTTGGAGGCAGTGGAGATGTCCTGTCTAAGGGGAATGTGTGGTGTAAATATTATGCAGAAAATTCGGAGTGTGGAAATTAGGAGAAGGTGTGGAGTTAATAAAAGCATTAGTCAGAGGGCAGAAGAGGGGTTGTTGAGGTGGTTTGGTCATTTAGAGAGAATGGATCAAAGTAGAATGACATGGAAAGCATATAAATCTATAGGGGAAGGAAAGAGGGGTAGGGGTCGTCCTCGAAAGGGTTGGAAAGAGGGGGTAAAGGAGGTTTTGTGGGCGAGGGGCTTGGACTTCCAGCAAGCGTGCATGAGCGTGTTCGATAGGAGTGAATGGAGACGAATGATACTTGGAACCTGACGATCTGTTGGAGTGTGAGCAGGGTAATATTTAGTGAAGGGATTCAGGGAAACCGGTTATTTTCATATAGTCGGACTTGAGTACTGGAAATGGGAAGTACAATGCCTGCACTTTAAAGGAGGGGTTTGGGATATTGGCAGTTTGGAGGGATATGTTGTGTATCTTTATATGTATATGCTTCTAAACTGTTGTATTCTGAGCACCTCTGCAAAAGCAGTGATAATGTGTGTGTGTGGTGAAAGTGTTGAATGATGATGAAAGTATTTTCTTTTTGGGGATTTTCTTTCTTTTTTGGGTCACCCTGCCTCGGTGGGAGACGACCGACTTGTTGGAGGAAAAAAAAAAAGAAAAAAAAAAAAAAATATATATATATATATACATACACACACACACACACACACACACACACACACACACACACGAGTCCTATACTTATGTATTGTAAAGTTTAATTGATAAATTACATACAACAAGTGGAAAATTAATACTTTTCCACTGATGGGAAGTACTTCATGGGTTCTCTTAGGCTTTGAAGAACTTCCACCATCACTACTTTTGCACTTTAGGCCATTATTAAGCAAAATTAATGTTATTTTTGAGCCATGGTAAACCGTGGATTACTGAGAGAGAGGATACCAGACCCGTGGATACGGGGGTCCTACTGTAAAAGGAAAATTACATTTTTCTATTATGTCTATCTTTCTCTTCCTCCTCTATTAACAAACAAGAATAAAAATTAAAACCTAAGCTATTCTGTGCTTATGGCCCTGGAGAATACTTACGATTCTGAATCTTTGCTTCTTTTCTTCTTTTTACTACCACTTTCTTCGTCACTGTTCTCTGAAGACCTGGCATCTGAATCTGCAATTAAATCAACAATCATTAATACATAATAGTAAACCCTTAATTTAATGGATCTCAGTTCAATAGACATTGGAATTACGGAACAAAATCGGCTAGATCACTCGATTCAGAAACAATGGTTGATGCCAAAATTACTCTCCACTGTTGGCTGCTTTTCTTAGGGAGGAGAGAGTGCATCCATGGTAGCACCATGACCACCTCTAGTATGGTCACTAATAAATGCATCATAGATTCTTACCTCAACTGAAGTGAACATCTACTATGCCAACTACTTATTATATGACATAATAAAAATTTGTAGATAAAGCTTTGCTCACAGACGGTGAATTTAAATTTGGGGGTAGGTGCCCCAACTTGACTTGAGATAATTTGAGATGGGAAAAGCATGTATGTTGCAAGTGTGCACTCACATAAATGTGGTTGCAGGGGTCAAGTTATAGCTCCTGGCCCCTCCTGTTCAGAGATAGTGTGTGTGCACGCGTGTGCATGTGCACGTGTGTGCACGCGTGTGAGAGTGCACACGTGTGAGTGCACGTGCATGTGTGCGTGCATGCGCTAGTTGTGGTTGCAGGGGTCGAGTCACAGCTCATCAACTTCACAGCATCCGCAAACAGGGACATTTCAGTCTACTCCTCCCATCATGTCGTTCACAAATACCAGAAACACCGGTCCTAGGACTGATCCCAGTAGCACCCCGCTCGTTACAGGTGCCCACTCTGACACCTCTCCACATACCATGACTCACTGCAGTCTTCCTGACAGGTATTCCCTGATCCATTGTAGTGCCTTCCCTGTTATCGCTGCCTGATCCTCTAGCTTTTGCACTAACCTCTTGTGCGGAACTGTGTCAAACGCCTTCTTGCAGTAAAAGAAAATGCAATCTACCCACCCCTCTCTCGTCTTACTGCTGTCATTCTGTCATAGAAGTCCAGTAGGTTTGCGATGCAGGATTTCCCGTCCCTGAAACAATGCTGGCTGTTAAGCTCATTCCTTTCTAGGTGCTCCACCACTTTTCCTGATAATTTTCTCCATGACCTTGCCTACTATACATGGCAGTGACACTGGTCTGTAGTTTAATGCTTCATGTCTGTCTCCTTTTTTAAAAATTTGGACATCAATAAACGAGTTGAAGATAGTTGTTAGTGGTAAACAAGTGCCTCTGCTCCCTCTCTCAGGACCCATGGAGAGATGTTATCCAGCCCCATCGCTTTTGAGGTATCTAGCTTCCTTAGCAGCCTCTTCACTTCTTCCTTGGTTTTATGTATTATGTCCAACACTTGATGGTGTACCCCACCTCTCTGGAGGCCCTTCTGTCTTCTGTGATCACTTCTTTGAATCTCGTGTTGAGCCCCTCACATACTTTGTGGTCATATTTTTGTGACCTCCCCTCCTTCCTTAGAGGGAGACAGTGTGTAGGTGTGTGTGTGTGTAGGTGTGTGTGTAGGTGTGTGTGTGTGTGTGTGTGTGTGTGTGTGTGTGTGTAGGTGTGTGTGTGTGTGTGTGTGTGTGTGTGTGTAGGTGTGTGTAAGTGTGTGTGTGTAGGTGTGTGTGTGTAGGTGTGTGTGTAGGTGTGTGTGTAGGTGTGTGTGTAGGTGTGTAGGTGTGTGTGTAGGTGTGTAGGTGTGTGTAGGTGTGTGTAGGCGTGTGTGTAGGCATGTGTGTGTAGGCATGTGTGTGTAGGCATGTGTGTGTAGGCATGTGTGTGTAGGCATGTGTGTGTAGGCGTGTGTAGGCGTGTGTGTGTAGGCGTGTGTGTGTAGGCGTGTGTGTGGTAGGTGTGTGTGTGTGTAGGTGTGTGTGTGTGTAGGTGTGTGTGTGTGTGTGTGTAGGTGTGTGGTGTGTATGTGTGTGTAGGTGTGTGTGTGTAGGTGTGTGTGTAGGTGTGTGTGTGTAGGTGTGTGTGTGTGAGGTGTGTGTAGTGTGTGGTGTGTGTGTAGGTTGTGTGGTGTGTGTAGGTGTGGTGTGTAGGTGTGTGTGTAGGTGTGTGTGTGTGTAGGTGTTGTGTGTGTAGGTGTGTGTGTGTGTGTGGAGGTGTGGTGTGTGTGTGTAGTGTGTGTGTATGTGTGTGTAGGTGTGTGTGTGTGTGTAGGTGTGGTGTGTGTAGGTGTGTGTGTGTGTAGGTTGTGTGTGTGTAGGTGTGTGTGTGTGTGTGTGTGTGTAGGTGTGTGTGTAGGTGTGTGTGTAGTGTGTGTGTTGTAGGTGTGTGTGTGTGGTGTGTGTGTGTGTGTGTGTGTGTGTTGTAGGTGTGTGTGTGGTGTGTGTGTGTAGGTGTGTGTGTGTAGGTGTGTGTGTAGGTGGTGTGTAGGTGTGTGTGTGTGTGTAGGTGTGTGTGTAGGTTGTGTGTAGTGTGTGTGTGTGTGTGTGTGTGTAGTGTGTAGTGTGTGTAGGTTTGTGTGTTAGGTGTGTGTGTGTGTGTAGGTGTGTGTGTGTAGGTGTGTGTGTGTGTGTTAGGTGTTGTGTGTAGGTTGTGTGTGTGTAGTGTGTGTAGTTGTTGTAGGTGTGTGTGTTGTGTAGGTGTGTGTGTGTAGGTGTGTGTGTGTGTGTAGGTGTAGTGTGTGTAGGTGTGTGTGTGTAGGTTGTGTTAGTGTGTGTTGTAGGTAGTGTGTGTGTTAGGTGTGTGTGTGTATGGTGTGTATGTGTGTGTGTAGGTGTGTGTGTAGTGTGTGTTAGGTTGTTTTGTGTAGTGTGTGTGTAGGTTGTGTGTAGGTGTGTGTTGTGAGTGTGTGTGAGGGTTGTAGTGTTAGTGTGTGTGTAGGTGTGTGTGTGTGTGTAGGTGTGTTTGTGTATGTGTGTAGGTGTGTGTGTGTGTGGTGTAGGTGTGTGTGTAGGTGTGTGTGTAGGTGTGTGTGTGTGTGTGTGTGTGTGTACTCACCTATTTGTACTCACCTATTTGTGGTTGCAGGGGTCGAGTCCTAGCTCCTGGCCCCGCCTCTTCACCGGTTGCTACTAGACCCTCTCTCTCCCCGCTCCATGAGCTTTATCAAACCTCGTCTTAAAACTGTGTATGGTTCCTGCCTCCACTACGTCATTTTCTAGGCTATTCCACTGCCTTACAACTCTATGACTGAAGAAATACTTCCTACTATCTCTCTGACTCATTTGTGTCTTCAACTTCCAATTGTGGCCTCTTGTTTCTGTGTTCCCTCCCTGGAACATCCTGTCCTTGTCCACCTTGTCTATTCCACGCAGTATTTTATATGTCGTTATCATGTCTCCCCTGACCCTCCTGTCCTCCAGTGTCGTCAGGGCGATTTCCCTTAATCTTTCTTCATAGGACATTCCCCTTAGCTCTGGAACTAACCTTGTTGCAAACCTTTGTACTTTCTCTAGTTTCTTGACGTGCTTTATCAAGTGCGGGTTCCAAACAGGTGCTGCATACTCCAGTATGGGCCTGACATACACGGTGTACAGTGTCTTGAATGATTCCTTACTAAGGTGTCGGAATGCTGTTCTCAGGTTTGCCAGGCGCCCATATGCTGCAGCAGTTATCTGATTGATGTGTGTGTGTGTGTGTGTGTGTAGGTGTGTGTGTGTGTGTGTGTGTGTGTGTGTAGGTGTGTGTGTAGGTGTGTGTGTGTGTAGGTGTGTGTGTGTGTGTAGGTGTGTGTGTGTGTGTGTAGGTTGTGTGTGTGTAGGTGTGTGTGTGTAGGTTGTGTTGTAGGTGTGTGTGTGTAGGTTGTGTGTAGGTGTGTGTGTGTAGGTTGTGTGTAGGTGTATGTGTGTAGGGTTGGTGTGTAGGTGTGTGTGTGGTGTGTAGGTGTGTGTGTGTAGGTGTGTGTGTGTAGGTGTGTGTGTGTGTAGGTGTATGTGTGTAGGTGTGTGTGTGTGTAGGTGTGTGTGTGTTTGGTGTGTGTGTGTGTGTAGGTGTGTGTGTGTGTGTAGGGGTGTGTGTGTGTGTGTGTGTGTGTGTGTGTGTGTGTGTGTGTAGGTGTGTGTGTAGGTGTGTGTGTGGGGTGTGTGTGTGTAGGTGTTGGGGTGTGTGTAGGTGTGTGTGTAGGTATGTGTGTGTGTGTGTGTGGTGTGTGTGTGTGTAGGTGTGTGTGTGTGTAGGTGTGTGTAGGTGTGTGTAGGTGTGTTGTGTGTGTGTGTGTGTGTGTGTGTGTGTGTGTGTGTGTGTGTAGGTGTGGTGTGTGTAGTGTGTGTGTGTGTGTTAGGTGTGTGTGTGTGTGTGTAGGTGTGTGTGTGTGTGTGTAGTGTGTGTGTGTGGTGTGTGTGTGTGTAGGTGTGTGTGTGTGTGTAGGGTGTGTGTGTGTTGTAGATGTGTGGTGTAGTGTTGTAGGTGTGTGTGTGTGTGTGTGTGTGTTGTAGGTGTGTGTGTGAGGTGTGTGTGTGTAGGTGTGTGTGTGTAGGTGTGTGTGTGTAGGTGTGTGTGTTGTGTGTGTGTAGGTGTGTGTGTGGTGTGTGTGTGTGTAGGTGTGTGTTGTGTGTAGGTGTGTGTGTGTGTAGGTGTGTGTGTGTGTAGGTGTGTGTGTGTGTAGGTGTGGTTGTGTTAGGTGATTGTGTTTGTGTGTAGGTGTGTGTGTGTGTGTTAGGTGTGTGTGTGTAGGTGTGTGTCTGTAGGTGTGTGTGTTGTGTGTGTGTGTGTGTGTGTGTAGTGTGAGTGTGTGTGTGTGTGTGTGTGTGTGTGTGGTGTGTGTGTAGGTGTGTTGTGGTGTGTGTGTAGGTGTTGTGTGTGTGTGTAGGTGTGTGTGTGTGTGTTAGGTGTGTGTGGTGTGTGTAGGTGTTGTGTGTGTGTGTAGGTGTGTGTGTGTGTAGGTGTGTGTGTGTGTTAGGTTGTGTGTGTGTGTGTGTGTTGTGTATGTGTGTGTGTGTGTAGGTAGGTGTGTGTGTGTGTGTGTGTGTGTGTGTGTGTGTGTGTGTGTGTGTTGTGTATGTGTGTGTGTGTGTGTGTGTGTGTGTTAGGTGTGTGGTGTGTTGTGTGTAGGTGTGTGTGTGTGTGTAGGTGTGTGTGTGTGTGTGTAGGTGTGTGTGTGTGTGTAGGTGTGTGTGTGTGTAGG